ATGCTTCAGGGTCCGAGTCTGCCCATGCCTCGGGGTCCAACGCCAAGTCAGCCACATGGTCCAGCCAGAATGAACAAGAAGCCTCATCTGATGAGGCCACTAGCTCAGAGTCAGTACCCATACCAAGGAATGAGAACCCTACTCCAGTGGTCGGTGAGCCAAACAGATTGTGTTTTGAGGGCCAATGGCAAATCTATCGGGATACGAAGATGATTAATGATAAAGAGAAGATGGCCCTAATTGTTATTGAGGAGCGCAGAGTCCTCACAGGAAGCTTGCACACTGTTCCCGACAGTCACTGGCTTTTCTACCTTCACAAGTGTGACTGGATGGCTCGAGACCCAGGGACTTATAGTGAGGAGATTGTGCGGGAGTTCTACGCCTCCTATGCTACCACTCTCCGTGGGTCGATCTCTAAGCAATCAAAGCCCTTAGCCCAAGATCCTCTCACGTCCACTATGGTCCGAGGTTGTCCGGTAGACATATCACAGGCTACCATCAGCCGCTTTCTCTATGGGCCTACCACATGTCACAGTTGGTCACTAAACACAGCGGAGTTTGATTGCAGATGGGACATCGTGCAGAGCGATGCTTTCCAGAGAAATGCTGAGCAACGAGAGGCTGTTATACTATGGTTGGATAAGTACATTGTTGCTAATGTTGAGCGTGCGGAGTGGGTCGCCACACCACGGTTGGGTATCCAAAAGGCGACATTAAATTTTGGGGCCAAGTTCTTCTGATTGTTGGTACGTAACAGGGTGTCGCCTACAAAAGCTGACAACCAACTCACTTGGGATAGAGCGGTCATGGTTGCAGCATTAGTAGCAGGAGTAGAGATTGACTTTTCCCGCATGCTACTGGCAGAGATTCACGAGAGGGCATTCAAGACCTCCACTACTACCCCTTTAAATAATATTACTCATTAAATAAATGCTACACATTAAATATGTGTAGATAATAACTTTAACAATATAATAAAATCAAAATAAAATAAAGATTCAAATCCAGCGAATTAAACACCAATCATCCTACGAGAAAAAAACTTTAAATCATTAAAAATTATAAACAAAAAAAGGAAAAAAATCGTCAAAAATTAATATTTACAATAATTATTGATAAGAGATTTGAATGATTAAAAAGTGTCTATATCTATATAATGTGTAGTGGCATACACATATCTCACTGATAGTGTTAATTCTAAATATGAAGTTGATTATAGTGACTTTGTCTATACAACTACAAAATCACATCAAAAGAAGAAGGAAAAGAGTTATTTCATAAAATAAAAAAATTATGCATAGATAGTTATAGAAAAAAAATGTTTTACACTTTTGTTATTATTTTTTGACAAAAAATACACCAAAAAGTTTGCGGAAGTGTCTGATGGATATTTGATTTATGCACGTTGAAGTCAAAATAGAGGAATTAAGATATTGTTATTTTGATTACTCAATACAAAAGAAATAAACATTTATTGCATAATAGAAAAAGAACTTTATATATATTAAAACCAAATGAATTGAAAAAAAATATTACATGTGATTAAAGTCTCTGTTTGCTAGTTTCTTATTGTCCATGAATGCATGTTGGCAGGTTGAATTATTCTCCTTTGTTAAATACTGAAATATCTTATTTCTTATTGTTTCTTTGTTGAAGTGGGGAAAGAATTTGATTTGATATGGTTACAAGATAATGTTATTTTGTTTGTGATTTATTTTAGTGTTTATATTAGAAGTATTTCTGGAAGAAGATGCCAACTAGGGAATATTCTGTTGTTGAATAACCGATGAAAACTCCTTTTCCAATTTCCCTAATGGCTTTACTAATGAATTATGCAACTCATAGGAGAGCTTTGGTGAAGGTTTAAAGTGAATCTTATGTTCCGGCTGAGACCACTAGCGAGAATTTTTATGCCATGGTAGGAAATGTTTTGGAAGCTAACAAAGCACCTTTCATGAAGATGAATTATTTGCCTGAAGGTTTGGGACATAAGAAATAGTTGAACATTTCTATCAGATGTAGGAATAAGTTTATTTCTACAATTTAGATTGATAATGTTTCAGCTTTCAACATATGTCCTTTCACTACTCTTCGAGCTTTAGGAATTGACGTCGGAAAGATTCGTGAAAGTTATGTAAGGGTTAGAGGTCTTGTCGGGACACAAAGGGGGGTAATTGGAGAAATTGACCTGTCATTATAAATTGGGCTCGTGGAGTTCATTGTGGAATTCCAAGTGCTAGACATATCTGCTTGTTACAACTTATTACTTGGAAGGCCATGGATTCATATGGCTAGTGCGGTCCCTTCTACAATGCACCAGACTTTGAAATTTGTTTGGAACCATCACGATATTTCTGTTCATGGAGAAGGTAACAATTCGATATATCCTAAAAATTCATTCCCTGTTATTGAAAATATGGAAGGGTTGGATGGGTCCGTATTCCATATTAGGGAAATTATGTGTGCTACTCAAGCTGAAAAGGAAAATTTACCACTTGTGCTTATGATGGTGGCTCGGGAAATTTTGAAGAATGGTTTTATCGCCGGTCAAGGTCTTGGAGAGAAATTGGATGGAGTAGTGGAACCAATTAAATTGCCTGGTAAGAAATACACCTTTGGTCTTGGATACGAGGCTACTCCTAAAGAAGTCTCATCGGCTAATCTTAAGAAGAAAAATGACATTATCTTACGACAACCTATCCTACTTTTGAATCAGTCATTTTCCAAGGAGTTCATTGCATAAGAATCAGAGGAAATCACCAAAGATAGCCTCGTGGAAGGAATCAAAAGCCTGTTCATTGAAGAAATTGAGTGCAATATGATTTTGGAGGATTACACCGAGGCCCCGACCATATGGAATGCTATGCTTGGAGATGCTTTGAACAATTGGACTTGTAACCCATCTCCGGTTCGCCGAGTAATCTTGGTAAATGATTGTATTAGAATTAATAAAACCACATGATTCGAATTGAGGGCTGAATTGTGTTTTTTAACTTGATGTGTTTTTACTCCATATTTTGAAAGCTTAAATGCCAAATATTAGTTATGTTTTTCTACTTTGAATTCTAAGTCTTTTCATTAATTATTAAGTTTTTTTTCTCTCTCAGTAAGCAAACTAATAAATCTGGCAATGCCGAGAATGTGACATGTAATGAAACGAGCAAACAAATCCAGAACAATGAATAAACTTTTGCAGAATATGAAGAATATGTGTAGCTTGAAGAGTTGACTAAGGAGTTTGAATATTTTGAGAATATAGAAAAGCCAAATTTGGATGAAACTGAGACGATAAATTTAGGACATCCAGATTTACTAATGGAAAGAAGAATAAGTGTCCATTTGACTTCGTCCCAAATAGAAGAACTTATTGATCTTTTGAGATGTTATATGAATCTGTTCACGTGGTCTAAGCACATATATTGTTTCACATACATTGCCAATTGATCCCTCTTGCCACCCAGTAAAGAAAAAGCCGAAAAAGATTAAGCCTGATTTGAGTTTAAAAGTTAAGGAAGAAGTCTCCAACCAATTTGATGTCAACGTCATCCGAGTCAGCAAGTATCCCACATCATTGGCAAACATAGTACCAGTGCCAACGAAAGATGGAAAAATCACAGTATGTGTAGATTATTGGGATATCAACAAGGCTAGCCCAAAGGATGATTTTCCTCTCCCAAACATTCACATACTTATTGATAATTGCGCGAAGCATGCGTTGCAGTTATTTGTTGACTGCTTTGTTATGAGTCCAAAATTAGACTCATGTAGAGATATATTTTAATAGAAATTGTATCCTCAAATGCCTATTTTATCCCAATATCTGATGAAAACCTTTAAGTTTCAGGAATTTAAAGTTTGAAGGAAAGCATGGACACTACTTTGTAAAAAAGAACAAGAAAATGAAGGTCTGAGGATCGCCGAGTTCCCTTTGCGAATTGTCGAAGGGTCTCACTTCGCCTTTAGTTCTAGTGCGCTGAGCCTTGAAGGAAAGGATCATTAGGCAACATTAGTCGGAATCGCCGATCAACTCGGCGATTCACCCTTTGGTACAGTTCATCGCCGTCTTTCACCATCCTTCGGCATCATCATGCTCTGGGTCATTGGGCGACATAGTACTGCTTCGCGGAACTCCTCGGGTTTAAAAGTTCTATGTCATTCACTTTCTTTCACTTTGTCCCTTTTTCAAACTCACACTTGCACCGTAGTAGTTACATTTCTTGCACGCTTAGAGTATTTTAAGTGTTGAATTGTGATCAGATTTGGATCGCATTACTGCCTAGCTCGTCAGTAATATCTAATTCAGCCTCAAAAGTTGGTAATCGAACACCTCAGTTATATGATCAGAATTTTTTTTACTCATTTGCATAACGTTGAAATGGTTGAAAATCGTTGTTGAGTCTCTGAGTTGATGCAATTGCATGTATTACCAATTACGATTCAATACTTACAGAGTAACTCGTAGAATCCCATTAGATCGTGTGTTGATTTAAAATTGTGTTGGTATGGGTGTGTAAAAATTGCTCCGGCTCTTCGCTGAATCCATGCCTTAGAAACTTAAACGGCATTATCAGGGATTGCGGGGTTGAATTTGAAAGAAATAGGTTGAAAATAGACACGTTGGGCTGTTTGGCGAGCTGAGTAGAGCTCACCGAACTGCTAAGAGGTTCGCCTAACACCCCTATTCCGACTTTAACTGAATTCTACATGTATTATTCGATCTGTAACTTTCGAACATGACCCTAATGTCGCTAAGCGCACTTAGCGACTCGCTAAAAGACTCCTTGTTCGCCCCTTTATTTGCACCCCTGCACCTCATGTGCATCATTTTCAGCGAATAGCCT